ACTACGGAGCAAGGATCAGCACAGGTCCTGCCTGATGGTGGATTTGTCCTGGAGAAAAGAAGGCTCAGGGGGACCTTGCCACACTCGCCAACTACCTGGAAGGAGGTTGTACTGAGGGCTCAGGCTTTTCTCACAGGGAACGAGAGGAAATGGCCTCAAGGGGAGGTTGAGATTGAGTGTCAGGGAAAATTTCTCATGGAAAGAGCTGTCCAGCCCTGGCACAGCTGCCCAGGGCAGTGGTGGAGTCCCCATCCCTGGAAGTGTTCAAAAGACACGTGGATGTGGCACTTGAGGACACTTAGTGGTGACCATAGTGGCCGTGCTGGTTGATGGTTGGACTTGACAACCTTTAGGGTCTTCTCCAACCTGAGCAATTCTGTGATTTGATGACTCTGTAATCTCATGTTCTCACTGCTATGAGTTACAAAGAATGAATAATTCAACATTCATTCTAGAAAGTGTGGATTTGGCTCTAGGCAGTGATTGTTTTCTCTCAGGTAGAGGCACCATCTCTTGGCATTAACCCATGGACATTTCAATCCATGGATGCTGAAAGCACTCTCAGAAAGCCTGGGAGAGAAATGGTGCATCCAGTGTGTTAAAACTCTGAGATCCTGGTAGAGCATTTGTTTAAAACAAATGGATTTGAAACATGGATTTTTTTTCTTGCCTATAGAGGAGAAATTTGCTGTGCTGACACCAAGCCATGGAATGGTTTGGGTTGGGAGGGACCTCAAAGCTCATCCCATCCCACCCCTGCCATGGGCAGGGACACCTTCCACCATCCCAGGCTGCTCCAAGCCCTGTCCAACCCAGCCTTGGACACTTCCAGGGATCCAAGCCACAGCTTCTCTGGACAACACACACCTCTGGGAGAAGGGATGGGTGGTCCAGCGAGGCTGCTGGGGTTTGTATCCTGTTGGCAGAGCAGACCTGGATGTGCAAAGCCGTGGGAGGGAGTCTTTGGGCCTGGCCAGCCCCAGATCTTACCTGCATAGGCCAGGAGAGCCGACAGGATCAGCAGCAGGACCCCGAGAGCTGTGCTGGGGATCAGCGGCACGGCTCGGGGGGAGCTGTAGAAATGCACAGCCAGCAGCAGAGATCCTGCAGGACACACAGGGGGAAAGCACAAAGAGCTTGTAAACCCAGCCCAAAAACCTGCAGATGATCAGGGTGGACAGGGCAGGGAACAGAGGGAAAATAACAGCACAAGATCTGCAAAAAGGAAAGCCTAAAGAGCTGGAGGAGTGAGCCTGACTAGGTTTGTGCCCAAGGTCTTGCTCCTTTCTGGGTGCCTGGATTGAAAAATCTTGGAATGAATCACGTGAGGTTGCCCAGAGAGGCTGTGGGTGCCCCATCCCATCAAGGTCAGGTTGGATAGGCTTTGGAGTTGAGTCGAGGGCAGGGTTGGGATGGAACTGGATCATCTTTAGGGTCCCTTCCAACCCAACCCAACACACGCTGGGAATGTATGGAAGAGTTTGAAAGTTGCCAGATAAAGGTAAAAACCCAGGATTCCAGATCCACAAAAGGCAGACAGACACACACACACCCTGCAGCTGATCCCTCCAGCCTCGTACTGATGGGAAACCAGACGAAAAAATCCGGGAAGATGGGACACAAAGAAGGAGCAAGTGAGAGGGAGCAACACGGAAAACAGAGCAGCAGGGAGAAGGGCTGGAAAAGGAAAGGGGAGGAAACTGCATCCAAACCGAGATGATTTACTACAGTGACTATGAAAAAGTTTGGATTTGCTTCCCACCCAGTGTGGAACGAGTACAAAACTTCGGGCCAGCCCTCGGGAGCCAACACAAATATTTTGTTGGCCGCCCAAGCAGGCGCAGGGCTCGAAAAGCTTTCCCCGGGCAGAGAAGGCTGCGGATAAACAGCCTCTTTAACCCCCTCGGAAAAGGGGGGGTGTCCCGCTGTCCCAAGCCCGTGTCCCGTGCCAGGAGCGGTCCCTACCTGCGGAAATTGCCAGGAGCCCGATGCAGGAATGCAGTGAGTCAGCCCCGCTGCCGCCCATCCCTGCGCGCTGCAGTCCCTGCACTGCTGCCTCGCTTTCCTCCCATGCTCTTTATACCCAAAGCATCGCCGCTGCCGCCGGTCCTCCCTGCTCTCCACCCCTTTTCCCTACAAACCTCTTCTGTTCCTGCTGCTCTCTGCATGCGGGAGGAAATGCAAATGAGCTCCTGGCTGCGGTAAATTTGGGGCTGTGAGTCAGCGTGGGCTGCTGGTGGCTCCCTCCAGGGGCCTCTTAAATTTACTGTTGATTAACCCTTGTTCAAAAAGACGCTTGAAAAATAAGGCTGAGGGTTTGTTGCTCTTGCTGCCTCTTTTATTTGCTCCTGCCAGTGAGGAAATTACACTGGTTAAAATGAAGGTTTTTGCAAGCATCCAGCTCGATGGAGCAAACAAACCCTCTGCGAGCCCAGCAGCTCCTCGGGGACCACTTGTTTCTCCTCACACTGACCACGGGCCTGCTGTTTGTCCCTGTCACAGCTCTGAATGCCTGGCACCAGCCCCCTGAGCTGAGCAGACTCAGTGCCATCCCCTTAAAGGTGTCTTCCGTCCGTCTGTGGCTCCACATCCAGCTCCTCCAGCCCAGAGGGGCAGTGCTGCATTCCCAGGTCGGGAGTGAGGGTCCAGCACTGCCAGGATTGTGTCCCAAAGGGGACACGAAGGGCCTGTGGGCAGCTTCCTGCTGCTTCCATGGGGAATGTGTGGGCATCGAGGTGTTTGTGGATGGAGGGGAGGCTGCAGGAGGCAGTGGGAACTGGCCTGGGGATGATGTTGGGCCATGGGTGGGTGGGAATTGTTGGAGAAGTATTAATTTATGCCTCTGTCGTGTTGTTTGTGGGGATGGAGCAGGGCAGGGACTGCTCCCCGGAGGGACCCAGCTCCAGCTGAAGCAAATCCCACTCTCCTGGCAAGACAAAAGGTGCAGAACAGGGTGCAGAGCTTCTTGGGCTGCCCAGGGATGGCTCCTGCAGCAGCCAGCTCCGATGCTCCCCTCAGCAGATCCTGCTCTGTGATCCCCCACAAATCCTGCTCCACCAGGGCTGGAGGACAGGAAAGCTGCTGGGAATGGGGCTGGGAGCTGCACTGCTCACAGTCAGGCCTGTGGGATCATCCAAGCAGTGCTGGAGCTGTGACAGCTCCAGAACAGCCCCAGAGCACCAGGTACTGTCAGAGGACCCTGTTCCTCCTGTCCCTGAGCCAGCTGCATCCCAGCCCTGCTCCCAGACTTTCCTGGTGTGCTCACCCTGCAGGAGGAGGGTCCCTTCCCACCCCTCCTCTCTACAACCTTCATGCAGATTAAAGCCACTTGGTGACAGCAAAGCCCCCAGTAATAAATGTGCACAGCCAAGGGCATTCCAGGCTGGAATAACCCAGCTGAGAAATGCCATTTATCCCTCATCCCCTCACTGCAGGGAGATCTCGAGGGCTGACAGGTCTGTTGGGACAGATGCTTTTCCAAGGGGGAGGAAACAAGCCTGGCTGGTCCAGTTGCACCAATTATCCCAGAAAGGGGAACCAGCCCAGCCAGTTTACAGCAGGCAGGGGTAACTGATGTGGTTTGCAGCAGGCAGGCTGTGGGAATCCTCAGCCTCTGGCCACTTTGTTCTGTGGCTAACAGAACTGCCCCCGAAGCAGCTGCAGGAAGGAGAAATCACCTGCTCAGGTTGCAACAACACTCGGCTGTTTTTTCATGCAAGAGGAAATAATATGCCCCTAAACCATAGCTGGGATGCCTTAGATAGCAAAACAAACAGCAGGCTTTGGGTGGTTTTTATGCATATCTCGATTTAATTCCTGTTCTGGGCAGTAAAAGTAACTGAGAGGCACAGCCTGGGTTGGATCAGTGGGACTGCAAGGCCTCTGTCACACATTTCTTGTTCCTGCTTGTTCAGGTAGCAGCTGGGTGCCTGAAATCCTTCATTTGGGGAGAAACATGCCATAAATGAGGTCCCAAGCAGCAGCAGCCAGCCTCCTCCTCGTCCTGCCCTGACTGAACACCCTGCCAAGCCACGAGTTCATTACCCACAGGATGTACTTCACGTCTCTCCCAAAAATGACAGAGCCCCAAGGAACGTGTGCTATAAATAACCCCTGAAAAACACCCTGCAGCCATGCTGTGGGAGTTTTTTGTTCTCTCAGCCCGCACAGGGCACAGTTATTCCAGCAGGGCCGGGCTGAAACAGAGAGGAGCAGGATCAGCTCGGTGTGAGCAGAGCCAGGCTGGGAGGAACGAGCTCCAGAGGCTGAACCAGGCTGAGCTCAGGGCTCCTCCAGAGCTCAGGGCTCCACCAGCTCCCAGTGCCTCTTCCCTGGAATTAAATAAATGGAGAGATGGTGCTGTTGATGAAGAATCCCATTATCCCAGAGATCAAGAAGTGTTTGGACGATGCCCTCAGGCACAGGGTGGGATTGTTGGGGCCAGGGTTGGACATTGTGGGGTCCCTTCCAACTCTATGACTTTATTAATTTCTAAACTCAGGGTGCAAGAGCTGGCAAAAAACTGCAGCAAAGTGTAAAATATCCACTTTTTGAGAGACGGGATCTGAGGGAAGGAACACTCAGGATCCGAAAAGGAAACGTTGGTGTTAAAAACCTGAAGCAGCCCGGGCAGGCTTCAAAGAATGGGGCACAGAGGGGAGAGCACTTGGTGAAATCCTGGCTCTGGGCAGGTTCCCTTCGCTACCATCTCCTGTGCAAAGGTTTTGGTGGCTTCAGTCTGAACTGGAATGGAAAATCAACAGCCGAGGAGGAAAAACACAGCTGCTCTTGTGAGCAGGGCACGTCAGCCGGGGCTGCTCTGGGCACAGGGCGCTGCGAGGAAGATCTGCAAGGGAGCAGCCGGTCGAGGAAACAAATAATATTTACACGCCCTGCCCGAGGAACGGGAAATAAAACCTCGTTGCCAGTAAGAAATTCAGCCCAACCCTCCCGACCCCACCTGCTCGGGGGAAGGGCCGGCGCTATAAAGGGCTGCGGGCAGCGAGCGGGGCTCACAGCGCCCGGGGCTCTCCAGGGAATCGCTCTGCTCCCGAGGGAACATGGCAAAGAGGGTGGCCGTGGTGCTGGCTGGCTGCGGGGTGTTCGATGGCAGCGAGATCCACGAGGCTTCGGCAGTGCTGGTGCATCTCAGCCGGGAGGGGGCTCAGGTACGAGGCACCGGCAGCATCCCTCCTCCTGCTCCTTTTCCCGGCTCCTTTTCCCGGCTCCTTCTCCCAGCTCCTTCTCCCAGCTCCTTTTCCCAGCTCCTTCTCCCAGCTCCTTTTCCCAGCTCCTTTTCCCGGCTCCTTTTCCCCGCTCCTTTTCCCGGCTCCTTCTCCCAGCTCCTTTTCCCAGCTCCTTCTCCCGTCTCCTTTTCCCCGCTCCTTTTCCTGGCTCCTTTTCCCAGCTCCTCTCCTCCTCTCCGACACCAACTCCCCCCAAACCAAGCAGCGGTGCCTGGAGTCTCTGGGAATGGAGAATTCCCCGCTCGGCTGGGCTGTACAAAGGGATTGGAGTATTGGGCTCTGGATCCGATGGATCCAAACTCTCCAAAAGACTTTCCCGGATGCCTTCTCTCTCTCGGCTTTTGGCTTGCACAGCTTCTTTTCCTCTCCTGCTGTTTCTGTTTAAAAGACAGTTTGGGCTGTTTGAAATTCAACTTTTTTAAAACCTTCAGAGTAGAAGTGAAAATCGAGAATCCCAGAATGGTTTGGGGTTGGAAAGGACTCGAAAAGGATGGAAAGCTGATCCATTCCCACCCCCTGCCCTGGGCAGGGACACCTTCCACCGTCCGGGGCTGCTCCCAGCCCAATCCAACCTGGACGCCAGACAGGGCTTAGTGAGTTAAACTTCAGGGCTAAAATGGTGCAGCTGCTCTAAAAATCGACTTGGGACTGGGAAAGGAGGGAGGGAAAGGCTCTGGAACATCGCACTCATATGCGAACCTCCCTCGTGTCTGGGTGGGAGCCGTTCCCCTGGGAATGGGAATTGCTCTGCGGAGCACAGAGACACAGGTAGCCCTGTGCCAGCCCCCAAAAATTCCAAACCATTCCAACCCTTCTCTGTTCGGCTCGTCGGGATGAGGCGTTTTCTCCGCTGTTGGTAACTTTGCCTTTTGCTGTCCCGGAGCTGCTGCAGTCGCTTCCCTCCTGCCGCATCCCAGCACTCTCGGAGCCCATCCCTCCCTCATCCCTGGATCGGCGGGGGCCTCTAGTGGAGGAAACTCCACATTCCAATCCCTCCTTTTCTAAGGAAACAGAGCAGCCTCCAGTGTGGAATATTTCAGTTGGAATATTTTCAGTTGGAGCTCAGCACCTCTCTCTCCACGGGAAGCTGCCATGAGGTTGCCCCTCAACCTCCCTGCCTTCCCACCTGGATAATTCCAAAGTCCTCGGCTGCTCCTTTGCAGGACGTTCCTTCCAGCCCTGCCCTCCTCGGGACACCTTGGTGCTCCTTAAATCCTTCTTAAATTGTGGGGCCCAGGACTGCACAGGTGGTGCAGTCCCAAAATCTCTTCACCACCCTCCTCTCTTCATTTCTGCATTTGAGCTTGGAAGTGCTAAAGGAAGGGGAAGAGTTTTCCAGAAAAACTCTCTGGCTTTGGGAAAACAGCAGGTGGGGAGAGGAAACTCCAGGTGCTGTCCCGGTGGGAGATGGGGTGGGACAGCAGCTCTCTCCGGGATTTATTTGGATATGGGTGGACTCTTCAGCCCCACAGACAAGCAGCTCTGGGCACAAATTACCAAAGGTTTCCTTCCTCCCTTCCCTCCTTTTTCCATGCCAGCTCTTCCCCAAGAAATGCCCTCAGCATTCCCAGGTCCATCCATCATTCCTGAAGGATAACAGCCCTTTTTCCTCTCTCCAGGCCGAGGTTTATGCCCCCAACATCCCCCAGATGCACGTGGTGGACCACGTGAAGGGGCAGCCGACGCAGGAGCAGCGCAATGTCCTGGTGGAAAGTGCCAGGATAGCCAGGGGCAACGTCAAGGACCTGGCCACGCTGGATGTCAAGGGGCTGGATGCCCTCATCATTCCAGGTGGGATTGTGTGGGGTCTGCCTGTCCACAGTTCAGTTATTCCATAGGTCTGGAATGCCATGGACAGGCTGGAGCAGGGCTCGGAAGGAGAGCCAATTTTAATTCTTTTATTGACCTTGGACAAATGCTGCCAAGCATCCGACCCACCTGGCAAAAACCCTGCCCTGGGTGTAAAAACCTCCAGCCTGAACTGCTTCTCTTTCCTCAGGTGGCTTCGGGGTGGCAAAGAACCTGAGCACTTGGGCCACCCAGGGCAAGAACTGCAGCATCTCCAAGGAGGTGGAGGGCGCGCTGAGGGCGTTCCACGCTGCCCGCAAACCCATCGGGCTCTGCTGCATCTCCCCGGTGCTGGCAGCCAAAATGTTCCCGGGCTGCGAGGTGACCGTGGGGCACGACACGGAGTGTGAGCAGTAAGTGACCCGGGGAGGGGGTGACAGCCACGCCAGGGTCCCCACAACGGGCTGGCCAGGTGGTGGAAGGGTCACAAGGAGCTGAGCGTTAATTCAGAGAACTCGGCTTTGCCTTTGGCTGATTTTATCATTTCTCAGCACAGCAGGAGGAGTGATGTAGCACCAGATCAATTTGCATTTCTGTGACTGGTTTCCATAACTCTGATGACTTTATTTTAAATTAATTTAAATGGAATTTATTATTTTAAATTCAATATTTGCCTCCCTGATGCCCAGGGTAGGAAAAGCCTTTGCTGACCCCAAGTTAAGGGGATCCAAAGCAGGATCAGGATGGTTACCCAAGGCTTGGGGTGTTAACAGAGGGAGTGAAACTGTTTTCAGTCCCACAGGGAAGCTGTGACTGGATTCTCCCAAGGGCAGGCGAGGAATTGTGATGGCTTTTATAAGGAAGGAGTTTTTTCACTGATTTGGAGGAAGCTGGTGAAAAACCTCACCCCAAACCTAAATCTAATTGTCATCCAGAGCAGCTGCGGCTGCTCCATCCCTGGCAGTGTCCCAGGCCAGGCTGGACAGGGCTTGGGGCAGTGTGAGGTGTCCCTGGCCATGGCAGGGGTGGCACTGGCTGGATTTTGAGGTCCCTTTTCACCCAAACCATCCCAGGCCTCTATAAACAACACCAGAGTGGGCAGAATTAGGTAGTGGAACATCCAAAGTGGAACTCCAGGTCTCATTTTGGCTTTACCTCAGATTTGCAACTCATTTGAGCAGGAGGTTTTTGTTGTCTACTCCTGGAGAAACTCCTCGAGCAGGGAGAGATTTGGATCCTACCGGGCAGGTTTTGTGCAGCGACCACAGAATTGTCCCTGTGGCCCTTCCCCAATCCCACTGCAGGTTTTTATTCCCCTTGCAGGTGGCCTTACGCCAAGACAGCTGAGGCCATGAAGGAGCTGGGCTGCAGGCACGTGAACAGCAAGGTCACCGAGGTGCACGTGGACACCAGGAACCGGCTGGTGACCACCAGCGCCTTCATGTGCAACGCCCCCATCCACGACGTCCACGACGGCATCGGGAAAATGGTGCGGGAAGTGCTCAGGCTGGCCTGAACTCCCCCAGGAACGCGGCTCCTCTGTGGATGACATCCTTCCCACGGCAGCAGGGAAAGGGACAGCCAGCAGCTGTGTCCCCACACCTCTGGTGGCTGCTGAGGAGGGAGAGCCTTGCAGAAGTTGTGTTCTGCTGAGGGCATATCACTCACTGGTGGGAGCTGGCATGGGATCATGGGATCATGGGATCATGGGATCATGGGATCATGGGATGGTTTGGGTTGGGAGGGACCTTAAAGCTCATCTTGTTCCAATCTCCTCCCATGGGCAGGGACACCTTCCCCTATCCCTGGGTGCTCCGAGCTGGCCTGGGACACTGCCGGGGGTCCAGGGGCAACCACAGCTTCTCTGGGCACCTGTGCCAGGGCCTGCCCACCCTCCCAGGGAGGAATTCCATCCCAATATTCCACCTATCCCTGCCCTCCCTCAGCTCGAGGCCAGGCTCCCACAGAGCTCAGGTTCAGCTGCTCCCCAGCCCCTCCCTCGGTGAATTGTGGCCAAAGGAAGGAACCCACTCCTGATACCAAATAAAACCTGATGCTTCTACTGAGTTCTGAGCTCTGCCTCCGTCTCTGCTGTTCCCTCTGGGTCAGCACAAGCTCTGGGGCGGTTGGGAAAATGATCCAGGAGGAAATGCCCAGCACAGCTCCCCTTGTTTTGCTGGGAGTGGAGAGAGCCCAGACTGGAGCAGGAATGTGACACTGGTGAGAGCAGGAGCAGCCCCGTGTCACCGGCCAGCTCTGGTGGCAAGAGGTGAAACTCTCCTCCTGCATTAACAGAACCAGAGAATTCCAGGTTGGAAGGAGCTCAAGGCTCACCTGGTCCAACCTTTCTGGGTAAAAATGCTGTCCCAGCAGCCTGTCCTGGTGGATCCCAAATGTCCAAACCTGGGGAATCCACCACTTCCAACAGCTGATTTCTCATGGTGAAAAACTCTGCTCTGGTGCCCATTCAGGATCCTCCCAGGAATAATGCAGATTATCCCTTGTCCTTTCCATAATTCCTCATAAAAAGGGACTTTCCTCCCCTTTGCAGCCACCCTTCAAATACCAAACATGGTGACGAGATCTCCTCTGAATCCGAGTTTCCCAAGGCTGAAGGAGCTCAGTTCTCTCAGCCTTTCCTCACATGGGAGCTTCCCATCTTTGTGACCTTCCTCTGGATCCTCTCCAGCCTGGCCACATCTGTTTTTGGCAAAGTTAAAAAACTCTTTCCACAACTCTGATGGCTTAAAATAAAACTTTATTAGAAATCCAATCCCATCTGCAGCCTCTGAGCATTCCTGCAAGCACAGAGGTCTCGGCAGCAGCGCTGGGAATTTCCTTCTGCTACGGTTTCTTTAGCCATGTGAACTGAACACAAGGTAAATTGCAGCAGTTTATTTTTACTTTGGGTTTAAAGAACATCCCAAAAAAGGGGGGGAAAGGGTTGATCCCCATAAAACAGGTTCTGAAAAGTTGGTCCCTGCAAATATGTCATAGAAAGAGTTCATTGTAGGGCCCAAACCAAGACATAAACCCAAAACAGATTTAAACTGATCAACAGATTGACAATCTCTGGTTTGAGTCATCTCTTTACCAAACTGGAATCATTTGGACCCATTTGTTCAGCCAGAATTTGGTCCCAAAATTGTGATTTGTGTATTTAAAGCAGTGTAAACATCATAACCAGCAACCACGTTGCTGCCTGTAAACAGGGTGGTTCAAACTGCTCCCAAACACCTTTAAAACTTCCAACCAAAAAAAATCCCCCACAAAAAACTTCTAACAGAAGTGACCTGTGTTTTCTGCTGCCTCCAAAGGAATCGAGACACTACAAAAGCAAGGGAGGAATGAGTGCCAAGGAATAAATCCCACTGGGCTTCAGTAAAGGCTGGTCTTCTTCATGATCCTCAGGAATTCCTGCTCGCTCACCTCCCCATCCCCATCCCGATCTGCCTCGTCAATCATCTCCTGCAAGAGATTTGGGGTCAGCAGTCAGGTGTGGGTTTTATTGGGAATTACTGGATTCAGGCAGAACTCCAGCCACTCTTTAGCTGTGCTGTTGGTTGATTTCCTGAAATCTGTTCTGCTGGGTGTACTTATAGAGAAATCTGTCCAGGAAACCCGACAGGAAAAGTCCAAAGTGCTTGGAGCAGAGTCCTGCAGAGCACTGCTGCTCCTCAGAACGGGATGATCCCATTCCTACACCCACAACCCATCCTTGGGCTCAAAACCCACAGATTCCAGAAATCCCTCCCTTCCTACCAGCTCCAGCACAGAGATCCCAAATCCACCAGGTCCAAACCTGCAGCTCTTCGTCTGTGAGGTTCTCTCCCAGCTCTTTGGCCACACGTTTGAGGTTTTTGAAAGAGATTTTTCCAGTTTCATCATCATCAAAGAGTTTGAAAGCTTTGAGAATCTCCTCTTTGGAATCTTTTTCGGCCTTAGGGAAGAAAGAATGAGTTTAGGGTAAAAACTGTGGTGTAGGTGATGCTTAAAATAAAGTTATGAAAGACCTGATAGAGTGAGAAACCCTTGGGAACAAATAAAGGAGCCCAGCCAGCAGGAATTACACCTAAGAGATGAAAGGAGACAGAGACACAACCAGAATTCCAGAGATTTTTTTCTGTCCTTGCCAGCCAGATATCTCTGGGACTTCACTGTCAGGATCTTCTGCTATTAAATATCTGAGTTTTGAAAATATTTTTTTTCAAACCAGAGCTTTAATCTGTAAATTAGAATTTATAAATGAGCTGGTTTTCCATCTGTGAGAAAAAACTTTTTTCCCTTTTCTCCAACACAAAAATCACCTCTGGTTGTTAAAGAAGCCTGATAATGATGATTTTAATTTTTCCCTGAAAAATGAGAGAATCCAGGAAAGGGATTACCCCAACTTTTGTACATTTAATTCTTAAGATTAAAATTGTGCTTTAACCTCCCTCCAAAGCCAAAAGGAGATAAAGACTCTCATCCAACTTCAAAATTCCCTTTGTCTGGAGCTGTAAAACATCCATACCATTTTCTGTGACATCACTGCCAGGAAGTCACTGAAGCTGATTTTTCCTGTCCCGTCCTTATCAATGTCTGAGATCATTTTCTTGATCTCTTCTTTCTTAGGTTCAAACCCCAGGGCCCTCATGGCCACCTGGAAGGACAAAATCAGTTAGCAATTCAACAAAATCAGCACCAAAAACCACAGGAAAGGGGGGGAAAAGTGAATTTTCTGTTAAAAATTCCACATCTCCTGGAGAACAGAGGCAGGCTGAGAGTGAGGCTGCTCTGCACTCACATCAGGATGCAGGAACATTCCTCTTCTGGAATTATCCCTCAGCTAATCCAGGAATTTCCTACATTTTCCCCACCTTGAACTGGTCAACCACAGGGAATTGAAACGAGTTTATTCTTCATTTTGGTGATAAAATTCTTGTTGGGAAAACATTTTCCTCCTTTGCTAAAGGGTCAGATAACAGCAACAACAACAACAACAACAACAATAATAATAATAATAATAATAATAATAATAATAATAATAATAATAATGAACCATTAAACCCTCAACAAGAGGGGAAACTCCCACACACACCTTTTAATGTGCACAACCCCCTTTTTTTAATGTTTAATGAACAAAGGAGGAGTTGGGACAGAAAGCACGTGAATTTTGGGCAGCCTGGCCCTAAAGACACTGGATAAGAGCAGTAAAGAGCTGCAATTAAAGAGGAAACGGTGCCTTTTGCCCAGCAGGTTTTCCGCTGGCGGGAGGAGGGATAAACCCAGGCAACTCCTGTGCTTTTTGCGGTTATTTTAGCATTCATGGCCCTGCTCCTTTATAACCTCAGTGACTTCCAGCCGCAGGGAAACCCCGACCTTCAGCTCCTTGACATCGATGCTGCCGCTGCCGTCGGTGTCGAAGAGCTCGAAGGCCTCGCGGATCTCCCGCTGCTGCTCCTCCGGCAGCTCCAGCTTGGGATTCGCCTTCTTCCTCTGCGCCGCGGCTGCCAGCGACGGCTTCTTATAGCCGGAGGCCTCGGCACGGTACAGCGGGGGTCAGGGCGGGGGGAACGGG